AAAAAAAAAACCATTGATTAAAAAAGAGAGGGCTAGAAAATGCCATTTTCTATAGATTGTGAAAAGGCAAGTAGAAATTCAGTTTATTTATTCCACCCATCAAAAAGAGATATAGGGTTAGTTATACCAATTGGGAATGGTAAAGTTGTCTACAGATTACTTCCTCGGCCAGTATAATGTGAATGCAATATTGTGGAAATTTAGAGCAATTAATTTCTACAACCTGGGAGGGGAGGTTAAGAACCTTCATATTACAAGTTAACTATTGCTGATAATCCAAAGTGAGTTTAGCAAATTTAGCAATTTGAGGTTAGCAAACTTGGCATAATTCAGAGATCTTCAGAAACTCCTTGTGTCATTAATTAAGGTCAGATACACTGTGGTTCAAAATAAAAATTAGATTTCTGAGACAAAGTCAAATCAATGAGGAGCTGTATCTAACTTTATTTTCAACATGGATTATGTCCACAAGGTAAATGGTTTAACTGAGAACATTTAGTTATATGTTAATATTACTAATGAAACATTAAGTTCGGGTGGGGAGAAATGGATTTATACACATCCTGAAGCAATATGCTTCAATTTTTTCCCTTACTGAGTCTAATATGTCTGACTCCCAGGTATAGGGGTCCTGGTACTGAGGACCCTAAGGTATTAACAGAGGTCACCAAATCTTTAGTGCTAGGTAGAACTCTCATAGCTACATACCTGATTAGATATCTGTTTGGAAATATTTTATCTGTATGATTATGACAATCCTTTTTTAAGCCCCTAAATTTGTACAGTTGTATAGTATGAAGCCTCTTTGCACAGCTGGGAGTTTCCAAGAATAGGTAGTTCTGCAGGAGCATAAATGAAGGTCACCTACTGCACCCTACCCAGATGAGCAAACAGCAGATATAGAGATGTTACTGGTGACTTAAAAAGCAACCACAGAAATATTCATACATTGAGATATCACTCTTTAATTCCATAATCTGACCACAGTACCAGTGATGAACAGCAGGGAGATTGTGCAAACCGTGTACTGGAATTGTGCACCATTTGTATATAAAACAAGAGACCAAGGTGGCTTGCACATTAGCACAGCAAGCTTGGGAAAGGTAGGATATCTGATGACAACAGGACGCAACTGGCCCTGCACCTAGACGTAAAGCAAAATGAATGGGTG